TTTTTTGCGGTATGTGGGCCTCTCACTGCTGTGGCCTCTCCCGTTGCGGAGCACAGTCTCCGGACGCGCAGGCTCAGCGGCCACGGCTCACGGGCCTAGCCACTCCCCGGCATGTGGGATCTTCCCAGACCGGGGCACGAACCCGTGTCCCCTGCATCAGCAGGCGGACTCTCAACCACTGCGCCACCAGGGAAGCCCCGGTTAGCTGATTCTCTAAGAGGACTCACAGGACTTAGCATAGAGTTGTATCAGGGCTAAGATGCATTACAGGAACAAGGCAAAATCAACAGAGGGAAAATGTTCGTGGGGCAAAGGCTGGAGGAAAGCAGACTCAAACTTCTGGAGTCCTCTCCCATTGGAGTCACACAGGATACACTTTATTCCCGCAGCAGTTGGTTGTAATGACATGTGTGAAACCAGGGAAGCTCATTAGAGACTCAGTGCCCAGGGTTTTTATCAGGGACGAGTCATGTAGGCAACCTCTGCCTAACACCAAAATTCCAGACTCAGAAGGAAAGCAGGTGTTTAGCATAAACTACATTGTCAGCGCAAACAATTTAGGCTCAGTGTGCCACTCTTATCAGTTAGGGTTATGGGAGCCCTCCCAGAATCTAAGTTCCCAGATGCCAGCCAAGGGCTAGCCTTGGAAGCAGACCTTCCAAAGGTGAGCAGTCAGGCCAGGTATGTGAACCCTTTTCCTCACAGCTTCTAAACCAGAGCCAGGGGAATTCCCTGGCGGTCCAGTGGTTAGGACTCGGCACTTTCACTGCCGGGGCCTGGGTTCAATCCCTGGTCAGGGAACTAAGATCCTGTAAGCTATGCAGTGTGGCGCCCCCCCCCCCCCAAAAAAAACCTAAAACAAAAAAAACAGAGCCAGGTGCCCAACCTAAATCTCAGGGCCATGGAATTGTGCTAGAATGGGATCATTTAGTCCCACTGTGCAAAATCCAGTGGTTCATATTTTCCTGAGTCTTTGGAATTTCTTCCTCCTTTAGGGGTTTTCCTGATAGCTCCAAAGTAAAAGGGATGAGATGGATTGGTGTTACCTGGTGGTTGGCCCCTCTGGATTGTGCTTCTGGTCCATCCTGTCCCACCCTTGGCAGTCATGGGCAAAACACAATTCAGGTACCTAGTGAAATGTGGCCCAGAGTTAGCCAGGACTTTTCTTTTCTTTTTTTTTTTTTAACATCTGTATTGGAGTATAATTGCTTTACAATGGTGTGTTAGTTTCTGCTTTATAACAAAGTGAATCAGTTATACATATGTTCCCATATCTCTTCCTTCTTGTGTCTCCCTCTCTCGCACCCTCCCTATCCCACCCCTCCAGGCGGTCACAAAGCACCAAGCTGATCTCCCTGCTTCCCACTAGCTATCTATTTTACATTTGGTAGTGTATATATGTCCATGCCACTCTCTCACTTTGTCACAGCTTACCCTTCCCCCCTCCCCATATCCTCAAGTCCATTCTCTAGTAGGTCTGTGTCTTTATTCCTGTCTTACCTCTAGGTTCTTCATGACATTTTTTTTCCCTTAAATTCCATATATATGTGTTAGCATACGGTATTTCTCTTTCAGCCAGGACTTTTCAACCTCATTTTCATTCAGGCACCAATAAGACTGTTAAAGAACCCAGGTGCCCTTTTTACTCAACTGTTAGATCACAGAATGAATGCAGCTGGACTCCAGCCTCTCCCTGCAGCTGAGTCCCAGGTTCTATAACAGCCCACACTGGCTGCCACTTTTGTTAATGGTTTTAATTGTGAAACCTGAGTGCTGGGTGATCACTTTGTTAACAGTGCACATGAGAATAGAAATTGTTGCCTACTTTGTATAAGACTTGACAAATTAGAAAGAAAGCAATTTTTTCCTGATTATAAAAGTAATAATAGCTTTTATTTATTGAGTTAATTATAGCTATTATTATTTATATACTTACTGTGTGGCAGGCATTTTGTATGCAGGATCTTTGAAATTACAGAGGAATGAAAAACGAATTACCTGTCATGATTACTACTCATAGTAAACCACCAATAATCATAGTGAACTGCCAATAATAGTCATCCTCACCTCTTTTCTACCCAAATAGGTAATGTTAAAAGAAAAACTAATAGAGTTAGAATCACACTTAGTATTCAGTTCCGTATCTTGGTTTTGATATGTAGCATTTTCCCTTTTATCATTAGAAACAAATCATTTCAACGACCTTTTCGTAAATCTTCTTTTTGTCCCCATAACCACCTTGTGAAGGCAGTTGCAGGTGAAGAAATGACTTGGGTGCTAGTTGGCCTTTGCAGTCTGTATCCATATTGGGTTCCCTCTCTGGCCTCAGTCTGTGAAATGAGGAGGGATTGGAGTTGGAATAGATGATGATGACACAGGTGTACAAAGCACTGCCTTGAAAATGATTTCAGTTGAAACCCCTCAATCTAGCCAAACCAGGATGATTGATCACCCTGCTTAGAACTCCAGAATTTGTGTTTCTGACTGATTCCCAGATGATATATTAGCCACTGTCTTTGATGAGCCTATATGTCTGTCCATTCTCATTACAGACACTCTTGACAGAAATTCCGTATTCCATAACTATTACCCTTGTTGAGGAAGTGGGCACTGAGGCAGGAGGACTTTGGGGGTGACTTGGAGTCACAGGGACTCCAAGGCTTGTAAGCCCAGATTCAGTTCTCACTGCCAGAACAGCTCTTCCCCTCATCTGGTCCCAGGTTGAGGCCTTTGGATGTCCCAGGACCACCTAAAATGGAGCCTCCCTGAAATCTTGGCTGCTGGGCATGTTCAGTCAGAGTGCGGCCACCAGTCAACCCAGATCCCTGTCTGGAGTGTGTGAATGGCAGGCTGGAAGGATGACTGCCCCAAATTCTCCCCCAACCCTAACTAACCCCTCTTGTTCTTCACAGGAGCTTTTTTGTGTTTGTGGAGCCCTGAAGCGAGCTCGGCTGGTCCATCCTGGGGTAGCAGAGGTGGTCTTCGTGAAGAAGGACGACGCCGTCACTGCATATAAGAAGTATAACAACCGGTGTCTGGATGGTGAGTCAGGGAGAAAGCAGCCACCTCACCTTGCTGCTCCCCACTGCTCACAGCAGGCCTTCCTCTGAGATGGGTGGGTGGACCTCCTGGTGCATTAAACCCTCCGGGGCCACCTGTGTACTAAGAGCAAGCAGAGATGTTATGTTTTTAATTGAAGTATAGTTGAATTACAATGTTAGTTTCAGGTGTACAGCACAGTGATTCAGAGATAGGCGCGCGCACACACACGCACACGCACACGCGCACACGCACACACACACACACACACATCTTTTTCAGATTCTTTTCCCGTATAGGTCATTACAAAATATTGAGTATAGCGCTATACAGTAGATCCTGTTGGTTATCTCAGCCTCTGCTTTTTTAATTGGATTATTTAATCCGTTCACATTTTATGTGGCTTTCTTTTGCATTATATGAAAATCTAGTGCAGCATTTTAGTTCTTTTAATGATTTTTTTCCACTATATTTTTTGAGTCACTTTCTTAATGGTTGCTCAAGGGTTTACAGTATACATTGTAGGTTATCAGAATCTATTTCAGGTTAGTATTAACGCAGTTGCAGTGAGATTTAGAAATATCACTCCTATAGGGCTCTATTCCCTCTTCCCCTTTTTTTGTGCTGTTACTGTTACACTTATCACATGCTATATAAAGTGGGAATCCAATACTTGTAAGGTTAATCCTTCATGGACAAAGTAGAAACCTGAACATACACTTTGAATCTTTTTTTCACTTAATTTTATACCGTAAGCATTTTCCCTTACTACTTGTTTCACAAACAAGTTTGGATTGCTTCATGCTGCGTCCACTTTTTCCCTTACTTTGACTCTGATCTCCTCCTGCACGAAGCTAGCTCTGTTGCCACTTGGCTTCTTGGTGCCATCATTGGCGAGGTTTCATGGACCTCATAACCCTGGGGTTTTCTTAGTCTCTGGCTTTGCCGAAACCTGACAGCCCCATCCCTAGCTGTGCAGCCAGAGCTGCCAGTGGTGTATGCTTTGACTCCTGGTAATGAAAATGACAGTCTATGTCCTTTTGTGTGAGGAGCTGAAGTCCCATGGCAGAGCCTTTTCTTTTTTGGTTTTTCAGGGCAACCAATGAAATGCAACCTCCACATGAATGGGAATGTTATCACCTCAGACCAGCCCATCCTGCTGTAAGTTCCAAAGGTGGGGTGCTGGGGACCAAGTGGAGCTTTTCTGCTTGCTTACTCTGCATGATCATCTCTCTGTTCTGAGGGGTAAACTGCCTGTATCACAGCTCCATTCCATTTCCTCTGCTCTGATAGCAGGCAGCCAATCAGGAAGCTTAAATTTGTACAAAGTGGCTTGTCACATCATTTCTGCAGGGGATTGACCCCACAGGGGCTAACATTAAGACCTCGTTCCCAGCCTTATAATTTAGAAACACCTGAGAAGAAAGTGGTGAGCAGGCCAGTTGTGTCCCTCTTTGCACAACTGTGTGTGCATTGTCTGCGTGAGCGGAAAACCCTGCCTCCTCATGATTGACTCTGGGCGACAGTGCTGGGTGCTACCCCTTGTTTTGTTACATACCCAGGCATACATTGCCTGGTCCAGGACTGAGGACTTTTTGAAGCCTGAGATGCAGAAAATGTCTAGACTGACATTCAGAAGGAAGTCCTTTTGTAGACAAGGATACACAGACCCAGGGAGAATGTTAGCTTTGCCGAGGTGGGAGGGGTAGTGTGGGGCAGGCCTGAAATAGACTTTGAAATACCGAAAGACGGCACTTTGAACCCTGGATATTGCGTCGTGTGACTTACATAAGTTTCTTAAACCGTGTTCCAGGATTAAGTTGTATTCTGAGAAATGTGCGTTTTATGACCTAGTGAGTTTGGGAACCACTGGGCTAAACCCAGTTAAATTTATAAGACTTCTCAGAATGTGTAATATGCTGATGTGTGTTTGACCATCCCTGAGGGACATGCAGTGTTTCCTAAACTTAAAACCCCAGATCATAGCAGACTGCATCTCAATTTTCTCATCAGCAAATTTAAAAAATGATAGGTTTGCTATAAGAAACAGAGTAAAAGGGTACGGAAAGCATTATGTTTGGTGCTCAGCTTTTGAGAGATCCTCAGCTAACAGTGGGACTGCTCTCTACGTAAGGGAAACCCACAAGGACTTTGACTTTGCTCTCTACAGACGGCTGAGCGACAGCCCCTCAGTGAAAAAGGAGAGTGAGCTGCCTCGCAGGGTGAATTCTGCCACCTCATCCAACCCTCCTGCCGAAGTGGACCCTGACACCATCCTGAAGGCACTTTTCAAGTCCTCAGGGGCCTCTGTGACCACACAGCCCACAGAATTCAAAATCAAACTTTGAGCAGGGGAGCGAGACAGCCAGAAGCGGGGGCAGAGGAGGGTGGCTCTGTTTCCCAAAACAAAGATTGACCTATGGGCCGTTGGACTGGAGGCCCCTGAGCGTGGGAAGGGTCGCCAGGGGTAGAGAGCTTCCTCACTGGATGGTACCCGCCTTTCTGTGTTGTTTTCTACCCTGTGCTCTTTTGTATGTTAACATTTCCTGTAGTATGTTTCTTCTCTCTCCACCTCATCACCAAGGTAAGCTTGTGTTGCTCAGAGTGTCTCCCCCTAAACGCAGCCCTAAATTGTTTTTTTCTATCTGGAAATGGTGCCCTGAATTCTCTGGGTGGCCTTCTTGAGGCCCAATGGAATGCAGGGCAGGGGCTGTTTGAAGGACACTGCTATTTCTTCAGGAGTGAGGGTTTGACTCCCCTTTCTCTTTTTTAAACTTTTCAAAGTGGGGAATGGAAGCCCCTGCCATCCTAATAGGAACCAGGTCAGCTGAAGAGCTCTGCCGCTCACTCTGCTGGTCAGTGGAGGTGGCCTAGGTGGGGATCAGGTCACAGGCCCCTTGTCCTCTCACCGCAGTTGGCTCCAGACCATTGTGGTCTGGAGAGGACCCTGTGGCAAGGGCAGGGTGAGACTTACTCCACTAGGAAGAGTGCACTGCTGGCTCTTGGTTTGGGGGACCCATACTGTCTCAGTCAACCTAGAGTAAATTCTTGAGTTCACACTCCCCTCTTCCCTTGAGTTGTGCCAAGTGCCCCACCCCAGCTCTCTTGGCCTTCTGGGTGTCACTGCTAGGAGGGGCTTGCATCGTTAGCCTCCCATTTCTCACGCAGTACAGCATTGTCACACCCTGGTTTTGGTGCAAATTGGGTGTTTGCTAGTTGGGTGTTTCAAAGGGTCTGCCTCTCGTTCTGTGACTCTGTGGGTCTGGGGGGTTATTTGAATAGGAGTTGTTGACTTACTCCTAGATTTTTTCTTCTGGCCTTAGGTACAGGAACAGGACAATAGTTAGGGATGCTGAGAGGCGGCATATATCCAGCAGCCACCAGGGGGCACTGCTCCACTGTTGTGAGGGACCCACCCTGACGGGAGGGTATTTTCCTGCCTTGGCAGTCGGGGTAGGGGAGCGGTGGGTGGGTGGTGGGGCGGGAGTTGAGAGAGCAAAGAAGCCTTTCCAGGCAAGCTGGTGAGTTGTTCTCTCAGTATGGTTCCAGGCATTTGGGGCAAAACTGTAGAACCTGGGGCAGCCCCAGAATATACCAGCACAGCATTGCTCCAGTGACATTCATTCTCAGTTTCCTGCCGGTTTGTTGGGACTGTAAAGGGAAGCCAGCCTAGCAGAGCTGGCGTGTTTTGGGGAGTGGGATTCTGGGAGGGCTACAGATCAGTAGCAGGTGGTATGAAAGGCACAAGCCTAGAAAGTATAAACGGGACCTGAGACACTAAGAATCTCTCATGACCTACTTGGGGCCAGTCCAGTGAAGAAAAACCTGGAAACTCATGTTTCCAAAGAGTTAAATTAAATCTGTCAAGCAGTGGGGACCCAGGGTTTGAACCAAGCTCAGTCCTCCAGGTCTGAGGTTGCCCAGGCCTGGGAAGCCCGAGGAATCTGCCTGTTGCTGCTCCACTTTCTAGTACTTTAAAGAAGGCTGCTTCCGTTCCCTTCTCCCCCTTTGAATGGGTACAAACTTAGTTCTCTTCAGCAGCTGGGAGACACGCCTCCTACACTTTCCCCTCCTTGGCCCCAGAGAATGTCCATAAGACACTAGGACCTGGTTTCGCAGGTACTGGAGACAGATCACTGCGTGGACTCTGCTTTCGGGAGGGACGGTACGTATCCCGACTGCATGGCTTTATCTTCCTGTCTCCCCTCCAATACCATGCCAGGCTGCTCTGCTTATCACAGCGTTTCAGTGAGCCCACCTGCAGCTGCCTGGCCATCTGGGCCCTGTCCTCTGGCTGGCCATATGGTACATTGCAGGGCAGAGCCTGTTTGCCCCCCTGTTCTACAGGATGGCATCGTGGGAAACAGAAGAGAAGGTGGTAGGCCAATCCTTGTGTCCTTCGCCTCCCACTCCCCTGCATTCCCCATCTGTGTCTCTTTTGTTCAAAAGGAGAGGAAGAGGCATTGAGGGATGGAGGAGACTGTGTTACCCATTTCTGAATAAACATTTGTTATTCCTACTTTTGAGCTGTCATTTCTTAAAAGATTATGCTAAGAGGCCTCATGGAATTTGGCACAAGGAAACGAGGATTTGCCTCTGCTTTACGGCTCACCAGCTATGACCTTGGGACAGTTGTTCCCAGGACTCGCTGAACTGCAGTCTCCGCAGCTGAGAGAATGTGAGCATCAGTGTATTGGAAGCACCTGGCAGAGGAACTTGGTACCTTCTGGGCCTAAAGTGCCTCACTGTGTATTAAGCATGGTCAGCTCCAACATAGAGTTAGGTCTGTTCATAGGGAACAGGGGAGCCTTTGCCTTGAAGTTACACTTACGGGTGAAATTTACTTCTTAGATCAACTATGCATTAGAAAAAAAGAAATTACACAAAATTTATCATCTTAACTATTTTTAAGTGTACAGTTCAGTGGTATTAAATACATTCACATTGCTGTACAGCCATCACCACCATCCACCTCCAGAGCTTTTTCATCTTGTAGGAGCTGAAACTCTCCCTTAAACACCAGCTCCTCATTCCTCTCCTGAGATCCTCCCCTGCCCCTGGCAACTACTATTCTATTTTCTGTCTTTATGATTTTGACTACTCATATAAGTGGAGTCATACAGTATTTGTCATCTTGTGACCGGCTAATTTCACTTAGCATAATGTCCTTAAGGTTCATCCATGTTGTAGCATGTGTCAGAATTTCCTTTTTAAGGTTGAGTAATATTCCACTGTATGTATATACCACATTTTGCTTATCCATTCATCTGTTGGACACTTGGGTTGCTTCCATGTTTTAGCTGTTGTGAATAATACTATGAACATGGGTGTACAAATATCTCTTCAAAACCTTCAAGACCCTGCTTTCAATTCTTTGGATATATACCCAGAAGTGGAATTGCTGGATCATGTGGCAGTTCTATTTTTAATATTTTGAAGAATCACCATTCTGATTTCGACAGTGGCTGCACCATTTTACATTCCTATATGGGAAGATGGGATGGAAGTACTTATCCCTATCCTTTCCACTAAATACAACCCTGGATATTTTATAGACTGGAAGGTGGAGAGACGAAAGACTGGCTGGGGACCTTGGGACCCAATGAACGACTGGCATTGAGTTCCCTGGGTTTTCTTTTTACTTCATATAAGCCAAGCTGGGTGCTGGAGAAGCAGACCAACAACCAAAAAACCCAAGTGAGGACCAGAAAGGGGTTAGCTTAACAAGACGGAAAGAAAACTCCAGTGAAACACCACAGGAAGAACTGCAGCCCCACCTTCACCAGTAAATGCCAGGTTGGGTCCTAGACTTGCAATCCTTGCTAGGCTGTACTTGGGGGCACCCCCAAATCTCTGCAGGGGTGGGGTCAAGAGAAGGCCAGATAGGGAGCTAGGACTTTAAGTTGGTGTCCGTGGAGGCCATGTGAGGAGAAATGGGGCACCCCAGCCCCTCCCAACCAGGGTTTTAGTAGAGGTGTGGTGGGATGATGGAGCTCACTGCCACCCACACCTGGCAGTAATGAAGCAGTGCCTTTCCGTGCCCGTCAGAGGAGGTGTGCTGTAGGAGGATTCAAATAAGATCCAGAGCCTTCTTAACATAATGCCCGAAGTGTCCACGTTTCAGTCAAAAGTCACTCATACCAAAGATCAGGAAAATCACACCCTGAAGGAGAAAAGACAATGGACATCGACACCATGATGACAGAGATGTTAGAATTATTGACGGATTTAAAAGTGGCCATCATAAATGTGTCGATGAGCAGTTAACACTGCAATAAGTCTCAGCAAGGAAATAGAAAATGTAAAGAACCATTTAAAGTAGAAAAATACAGGGCTTCCCTGGTGGCGCAGTGGTTAAGAATCTGCCTGCCAATGCAGGGGACACGGGGACAAGCCCTGGTCTGGGAAGATCCCACATGCCGCGGAGCAACTAAGCCCGTGCGCCACAACTAATGAGCCTGCGCTCTAGAGCCTGCGAGCCACAACTACTGAGTCCACGTGCCACAACTACTGAAGCCTGTGTGCCTAGAGTCTGTGCTCTGCAACAAGAGAAGCCACCACAATGAGAAGCCTGGACACCGCAACGAAGAGTAGTCCCTGCTCGCGGCAACTAGAGAAAACCCGCGTGCAGCAACAAAGACCCAACACAGCCAAAAATAAATAAAATTTTTAAATGTATTTAAAAAAAAAATACAGGGAATGCCCTGGAGGTCCAGTGGTTAGGACTTAGCTCTCTCACTGCTGGGGCTGTGGGTTTTATCACTGGTCAGGGAACTAGGATCCCGCAAGCTGTGTGGTGCAGCCAAATAAAGTTGAAAAATACAATTACCCACCCACCCCCCAAATGGAGAAGAATCAGTGAACTTGAAGTTAAAACAATAGAAACTACCCAACCTGAACAGCAGAGAAAATAGACTTAAAAAATAATAATGAAGGACTATGGGGACCTATGGTACTAAAACAAAAAGTCTAAAATCTGTGTCAGCAGAGTCCCAGAAGGAGAAAAGTAAGGGTGGGGCTGAAAAGCAGTTGAAGAAATAATGGCTGTCAGGAGTTCCCTGGTGGCCTAGTGGTTAGGATTCTGGGCTTTCACTGCCCTGGTCTGGGTTCAATTCCTGGTTGGGGAGCGAAGATCTCACAAGCCATGTGGCATGGCAAAAAAAAAAAAAAACAGAAAGAAAGAATGGCTGTAAGCTTCCCAGAAATGGCAAAAGATGAAAACCCGCATGGGACTTCCCTGGCAGTGGTTAAGACTCCACGCTTCCAAGGCAGGGGGCGTGGGTTCGATCTCTGGTCGGGGAATAAGATGCCACATGTCGCGCACCATGGCCAAAAGATTAAAAAAAGAAAAAATACCCCTGCAAATTCAGAGAAGCCTAAACAAGGTAAACCTAACGAAATTCACACCAAGACACATCACAGCTAAACTGAAAACTAAAGAAAAGAGAATCTCAAAAGCAGCAAAAGAGAAATGATACCTTACCTATAAAGGGACAGGAGCTTCCTCATCAGAAACCATGAGGCCAGAAGGAAGTGGCACACTTCAAGTAGTGAAAGAAAATTATCGTCAACTGAGAATTCTATATCAAGTGAAAAATATCCTTCAGAACGTAGAGGGGACTTAGACATTCTTAGATATAGGAAAACTAGGAGAATTTGTTGCCAGCAGTCCTACCCTAAAAGAATGGCTAGGGCTTCCCTG